CATGTATAGTCTTGTTTGTATAGGTGGACATGAAATTCTATTCTGGGTATACTCCCAACAGTTTTGCCTGTGTGGTGGGGGCTTATCTGATAATTTCATAATAGCTAAAGAATTGAGAGGATCAAAAGTGCCTTATATGTACATGCATTGTGTGTTGTTATGGTATCTTTCAAAGCCCCTGCTATTCATCATGCAATATTAGTTCACTGCATGAACATGTACATGTACATTTATTTTTGATAAAGAATGCAGATGTTTGTTAACATCTGTTTCATTCTTTGTCTCTCTCTCTCTCTTTTCTTGTGTAAAGTTCAGGGACTAGTTATGAGCTAAGTGTTTTCATGTAGCCTGTGTATAGGTCTTATCATTCTTGTGTACAGCTATGAAGTAATGATTCCATATGTCTTGTCATGTATCCATGAATAGTGACTGTAATTATGGACACATTAACATGCCATGATATCATCACGCAGCATCTGTATGCATGTACATACATGTATTGTAGAGCATAAAACAATTAAAAGTTCACTTAATAATAACTTTACAATTAAAAAATTCAACAGTCACATACATAGAAAGATACTTTAGTCTTACTTCATATGCACCTGCTTTGTATTATACCAACCCTCACACGTGATATTTGATAAATTATTTTTTAATAAAGAAATTTTGTCCAACTTCCAATTGCTATATTGTGAAACCAAATTGCGAAATTGTCACTATAGGCTATAATCATTGTCCTTAAATCCCTTAATGTGTCATGGTAATTATTACTGATATCAGAGCTTAGCCTGTGTACCACTGTGACTTTATGATGATGCAACTTATGAAAGCACCCAAGCCAGACCTCATTTGATGTCATTATTCATTGTTATTAGTACATGTACATGTACATGTACCAACACACACACACACACACCTTTATTAAATGTATTAAAGTAAACAGAGACCCTTATTACATTTTATTACCATCACTCATGAAAGTTCTCTGACGTGTTAATAAACTATGTCGCTGGATATATTATATCACGTCCCTAATGCTGTTACACGCACCTCATTACTCGTGTAGTAATGACACCACCGCCAGACATGTAGTGACAACTTTCATTAAGTTTAATGACTTAGTGTGAATTACGCATTCATACCTGAGTAAGTATATAGTAACTATACTACAACTACATGTAGGTGGTTGGTTGTGATTTTTATTAATACAAGATACTGGCATATTTTGCATTCATAGGAATTTATGCTATTAAATAATTTACATGTTGTATATTGGTAATGTGTTGTTATAAGTTTGACCCCTGCTTGTAGAATTAAACCCAGCCCATGGTCTCTTAATAGAATGCACTTTATAATGTACTTTATTATCTCAGCTTATGTTGCAATCTTTTGGTTAAGCCGTTGAAGGTTTTCAGGGGATTTTTACTTTTTGTGAAGTTCTTTGTTATCGTACTTTTGGTTTTTTATATATTCCCTCGATGATTTGCATAATGCAACCACCAAGCCTTTCATGATGCAGATACTGCACATGCATCAGATGTACATGTAATTAAGCATGCATGAGTTCTTATTAATACTGTACATTTAGTGTGAGAATAGCTATTGGATATTTATTCATGTGGGCTGGTTTAATGCTACTCTCCCTCTTTCTTGACTTCTTGCCTTTACACTAGCTCCTTTACTATTTTCCTCTCTCTCCCTCTCTCTCTCTCTCTTTCTTTCTCTTTCTCCCTCCCTCCCTCTCTCTCCCTCTCTTCCTTTCTTTCTCTCCTTCCTTCCCTCCCTTTCTCTCTCCCTCTCTCTCTTTCCTTCCAATTCACTTATTCTCTTCACTTGTACATTGTACATCACTATCACGCCACACCACTTCCAATTAGCATCCCAAATACTACTACATCAACAATTAATAACACAGCCATTATGTATTTCATTTACATGTACATGTACATGACTACATGTACATGTATGCTAATAACGGCCGTCTAAATCATGTTAGGGGGAGATGCCTGATTACCATTCCTACATTACGTTATTGTCTTTGATATCAGATGTCACATTGTTCTGTCTCTCTTCCTCTTTTTCTTTGTCCTCTTCTCTTCCTTCCTCATTTCCTATTCATTTTCTATTGTTCATAATACATGTGCATCCTTACTATTGTGCATTAAGCGCATCATGACTTACATTGTACTACTTCATATATTTCCTTAATAAATATATATATATATATATATATATAATATACATGTCTTTCATCATGAATGATGCTGTACATTGTAAATATGTACATTGTACTACTTCATATATCTCAATTATTTCATTGATATGTGAAATATTTTATTTAATAAATTTATGTCATTCATCGTGAATATACATTTGTACATAGCTAAGTTGACATCTCAAATGCATACATGTATGTATTTCTACAGTGGTGCCTCTATATAATGGATATTTTGGAGCTAGAAAATTTCTTTGTTATACAGTCAAACCTGTCTATTCCGGATACCTTGGGACTCAATAAAACTGCCCTCATTAAAGAGGTGTCCTTATTTCATAGGTTCATTAATACACATTTATATTGTATTGGGACTGATACTGCCTGTCCTGATTATACAAGTGTCCTTATTTTAGACTGTCCACAATAGCAGGTTTGACTGTACAGAGATATCCTTTATGTGGAGGTTATTTAATACAATAAGGATTGTACTTGGTGTCCGGTATAAAGAGTGTCTATTAAGAGAATTAAGCTACATCTATAATATTTATAGTCCACTAATACTGTCCATGTACATTAAGAGAAGTTAATTCTTCTGTATGAACTATGAGTATAATACAACATGAAAATCATGTTTTCATTTACATGCACTAAATCATGCTAGGGAAAGATGTCTATAATTACTGTTCCTACATTACAATTATACCCATGCTCTCCCTTGTATCTGATATCAGTCTATTGCCACGTACACGTGTCCTTATGTTGATGTCCTCTTGTCCAAAGATGTTTACTGTGAAACTTGTACTCGTGTTGCATTTACATATAAAGGCGTGCCAGTTCTATTTCCGTCTCTATTTGTCAATATATTTTCTTGCTAGTTCCAGAATGGAAGTGAGGAAAGAGCAACAATCAACAGCCCTTTGATGTTGTTGTAGTTGCAACAGGAAATAAAATTAATAATTCTTTGTTTGTTTGTGAAGCCATTTTTTGTTGGAATGTGTACTTGTAGTGTGTACATGCTGCCTGTAGAGTTGGAGACATCCTAGCAAAATCATACTTCCAATTCATGTGGACTTGGTCCTGTTGCTGTGAGGATTTCATTTCCATGAAAATGTTTGGTTTATGGTTTGAGACTGGAGGGTTAGTCCTCATTCTGACATTGGAACAGAACTCTAGCTCTTCTCCCCAGTACATACATGTACATGTATGTAGTACAAGAGTAACAAGACAATATAGCCTCTCTTAATGGACACTCTCTATTGTGACATGTACCTCAATTTAATGGACAGTACCTAGTGTCTCGACAACTCCTTATAACAGATAGTACAATGTCTTGGGCACAATTTTGCCAAAATTGATAAAGAGAGAATTCTCTATTTTTATAATTTTTTCAAATGCATATACGTGTTGTTATGTTGTATAGAAAGTTTGAGCTGATTCCAATCAAAATTGGATTTTTTACGAATTTTTAAAATTGCTCAAAAATTCCCTATACCATGACCGTATTCAAGCCTGCAGTGGTACATGACATGTTATGGTGGTTCTACATTGTACATTAATCTGATTAACTTGTGTAGCTTAATTGTTTAAACTGCATTCATTCATTTGATAGTAAGGAGAGTGGTACATGTATGTGTACATATACATGTACATGTATGTGCAGTTGTAGATCATTTATATTACACTACAATGATGCATACTGAACTCATCAAGAGCATTTGTGTTACTGTCTCTCTTTTTTCATTAGAACATGAAGCACATGCGGCCTCTACTGATAACACTG